TGGTTTTCGTTTTTACTGGTAAGCTTCAGGAAATTCAGCTTCAGCCAATGATTTGCAACGTATTCCATTTAAGAATCAAAAAACATTATTGAGTATGGTGGCCCTGAGGGTCGAAACACAACGAAATTTCACAAAACATCGTCACGTAATTGAGTTCATGAAATCCAACAAATGTTTAAATGGCCGACCTTAAACATATAATATTGAGAAATGTAATTCCTCTCGAGTCTGGATGACTGACAGCGGTTAGTAGCAGTTAAGGCCAAAGTTTTCCAGCTCAGCTGCAACAGTAAAACCTGAGCAACTATCCTGACGTGCAGGAAAATCTCCAGCAGTATAAATGAGTGAAAAATGTAATTGCTTTGGATATAAAAATCGACTAGCTGTAAGTTTTTACAACCCATGTAAACAGCTGTCCCGTGATTCTTGTCATTACCAAATCAATCCTGTCCAGTCTGAAAGACTTACAAAGGTTTCATTTTCATCTGACTTTGAAGTGCTGACAGACAGCAGCAGGGCAACGTGCTTCCAGAGGAACAAAACTTCCTGGTTTGTATAACAAAGGGTTGAAAGGGGCACCAATCCATTTGGGACCGGAGGAAATCTCTAAAAATAGTTCACTGCTTCATCCCATTGAAGACAAACCATCCCTTATGAACTATTGGTTCTGGGGGGACAGAGATGACCGTACACGTGGTGCCCCTAATGGCCCCCCGGGGGGCACTTGGCCTCTAGCCCTTTGTTCCTTTGGACCGGCGGTGTGACCCGAGCCTTTGGCAGCGACTCACAAATGCATAGAAACGCCCTGGCGGTATCCACCCACCAGAGCTGTGGGCTGCATACACCTGTCCTCCAAGCTCTGGCCGTGATGCACCACTGATGCAGGCCTTGTTTGCCGGGCCGCCACCCGGTGAATGGGGGAGTGTGAAGGGCTGCAAAAGGCCGGCCCCAGCCTGTCCTTTGTGCGTGCGCTCGCAGACCCCCCCGCCAAAGGCTGACATGCTCGTGCCCCGCCCCACCATTATCCCACCGTCACCCCGTCCCTCTATCCACCATTCAGAGTCTCTGTCACGGTCTCTGTCCATTCAGAGTCTCTGTCACTGTCTCTGTCCATTCAGAGTCTCTGTCATCAAAGTATTTTATTCAGCACCGTGACTTTTTTTCCCCGACTGGTTTTCTTTTCCCAGGCAGAGAAAGATGTGCATGCTCCCGCCCCTTTCCCTTCATCAGTCTTCCTCGCAAAGAAACATGTCCAGTAACCAAAATCTCTTCTTGCATGTTCATAATACCGAAATCTATCACTGCACATTCCAGTCCACCTCATGCCCCTTTGCATTTAGATCCATATGTATGCCAAGTTCGTGACCAAGTTAGACCTACAGTGACACGATGTTCATAGTTTTGGCTGCGAACATTACCACGGTAGATTTGAAATGAAACAATCAAGACGTGATTAAAGTGTAGACTTTCAGATTTATTGAAAGGGGTACAGCAAAAATACTGTATCAGCTGTTTAGGAATGACAGCCATTTTTATACATAGTGTCTTCTCATTTTCAGGGGCCTTATAGTAATCGGACAAATGACCATAATCATAAACATAAGGATCATTCTGAATACTTCAGTGAAAATCCTTTGCAGTCAATGACTGCCTGAAGTCTGTAACCCTAACATCCCCCGTCGCTGTTTCCTCCCTAGTGATGATCTGCCAGGCTTTACTGCTGCCATCTTCACTTGCTTCTTGTTCATTGGTCTCTGCCCTCAGTTTTGTCTTCAGCAAGTGAAATGCAAATAGTTATGGACTAAACTGTATACTTTTAAAACTATTTTCTGTCTTTTGTCCATATCTCAGTATGTCATGTTTTAATTGTGCTTAAATGTTTTTCACATTTATATTATATTCAAAATAGTTTTCTTGCTCTGCGACCAAAGACATTGTTTATTTCACCCATTTCAGCCATGGATCGTACAGCTAAAGATGACAATAAAGATGCTTTGATTCTATGTCTATCTGTATCTGTGTGTGTGTATGAGTATGTATATATTACATTAAGGGGACCAAATGTCCCCAGAATGTGATAAAATCCTGTTATTTTGACGTTGTTAGGATAATTTTTTTTGGTCCCCACAAGGGAAAATTCAATTTTATAAAAAACGAGCAATCAAAAAACTAAAAATGGGATTAGAGTTTTGCCCATAGGAGTTTTCCTTCAACGGTTCCCACAAAGATATGAGTACTGGTTTGTGTGTGTGTGTCTGTGTGTGTGCTGGGGATTCACACACCCACAGCAGGACAGTCTCACAACTGTCCCACTGCCGCCCATCACCCAAAAATGTACCTGAAAGGAGGTGAGACACAGCAGTCTCCCATGGGTGCTTTGTCCACTGGAGGTGGGGGGGGGGGGCAGCAGACAGCAGAAAAACAATTTAATATGGACCTGCGGGTGGAGAGTGTGGCGGCCGACTCAAGTTCAGGGGGAAACCTGAGTAGTGAATCTGAATTAGGCCTGCCTGGCACCCCCCCTCCCCCAACTGCGAGCTCTCTTTCAGCAGCTGACCTCATAACTTTCTGGCCGACACAATCATGATGTGGCCATAATGCAGCCCCGCAGTCTTGCCCCCCCCCCCCAAACTCGATTTTCGGGGGAGGTCGCGTCCTCGGGGCCTCAGTCACCTCCACCCAGGACTCTGGACCCTGTGCCCTAAAGCGTATGCTGTTATTTCCAGCTGGCATCCACTGCGAATCCACTGCATTAACGTAGAGTGACGTGGCACCGTGAGGTTTGCATGTGACACTCAGGTTTCCTTTAAGTTTGACGTTGACAAGGACACAGACGACACAGGAACCTAAACCAGTGTCCAATGGGCTTATACTGTAACTTGGCGAGGGGAGTGCGGTGGGTGGGGGGTGGGAGTTACAAACCAAGTGGCCTTGTAGGCATAAGTTCATGAATCTCTAGGCTGGTATTAAACTGCGTCACAAAAGGAAGTTTGACAAGCAGTGACTGGGCGCTGACTGCTGAAAAATCTAAATCCGAAAGTGACAAAGTTACATTTATTTATTTAGCAAATGCTTTCACCCAATGTGACATACAGTTGTGAGAGCAAGGTCAAACAATCATTTGACCAACCACAGGATCTGAACCAGCAACCTTCCATTCACAGTGTCTTAACCCCTCAGCCACACACTGCATTAGATTAAACAGTAAACTGTCTGCAGAGTCAATAGCTACAGACCTCCAAACTTTGTGTGGCCTTCAGATTAGCTCAAGAACAGAGCGTAGAGAACTTCATGGAATGGGTTTCCATGGCGGAGCAGCTGCATCCAAGCCTTACATCACCAAGTGCAATGCAAGGGTCAGATGCAGTGGTATAAAGCACACCGCCACTGGACTCTAGAGCAGTGGAGACGTGTTCTCTGGAGTGATGAATCATGCTTCTCTGTCTGGCAATCCGATGGATGAGTCTGGGTTTGGCAGTTGCCAGGAGAACGGTACTTGCCTGACTGCATTGTGCCAAGTGTACAGTTTGGTGGGGGGTGGGGGGATTATGGTGTGGGGTTGTTTTTCAGGGGTTGGGCTTGGCCCCTTAGTTACAGTGAAAGGAAGTCTTAATGCTGCAGCATTTGAAGCCATTTTGGACAATTTCATGCTCCCAACTTTGTGGGAACAGTTTGGGGATGGCCCCTTCCTGTTCCAACATGACTGTGCACCAGTGCACAAAGCAAGGACCATAAGGACATGGATGAGCGAGTCTGGTGTGGAGGAACTTGACTGACCTGCACAGAGCCCTGACCTCAACCCGACAGAACACCTTTGGGATGAATTAGAGCGGAGACTGTGAGCCAGGGCTTCTCGTCCAACATCAGTGCCTGACCTCACAAAGAATCCTGGCAGGATGGTCAAACATTCCCATAAACACACTGCTAAACCTTGTGGACAGCCTTCCCAGAAGAGCTGAAGCTGTTATAGCTGCAAAGGATGGGCCAGCTCCATATTAAAGCCAATGTATTAAGAATGGGATGTCATTAAAGTTCATGTGTGTGTAAAGGCAGGTGTCCCAATACTTTTGGAAATATAGTGTAAATTCTGACAAACTAGTGCAAGAAAACAACTTGACAGCAACAAACTGCTGCAGAACAAACTGTAAACATGGTGCTGCATTCTGATGGTTAAACATTTCAAAAGATGCCAGCAGAGGGGTGCAGAAGGGTAATCAGAATCAAAAATATATTGATTTGTGTATTTATAACATGAAGTCAGCATCCAGGTTCACTTTCCAACCTAAATTCTGTTTGAGGCATAAAAGAGTGAGATTCTTGGTAAACCTGCCCCTTCCAGAAGTTTGTCATAGGTGCGGACGGTCAGCTGCATTACGTCTGCCAGTCGGCGGCGGGAGGGGGGGGGACAAAGAGACGGTAAAAGACGCGGTGGCAGCCATTAAAGTGTCCGTCACCACCGCAGGTATCGGCAGTCTGTCCCGCCGCTTCCAGGGCTGATTAGTTTATTGTTTTTTCCTCCCGCCCTCCACCGCCATCGTTAGGCGTTTGGAATTATTCTGGGCTCTGGAATCACGCCGAAACCCGAGCGGCCAGACATTATTCATTAATCACGTCCCGGGCCGCGGTGACATCACTCGGTGAGCCATGCCTTTGCCGTAAACATTAAAGATGGCTGACACCTGTCTGCACAGACGCGGGGCCCCTCTATCTGCAGCTGGCCTTTCCATGGGCCTCTGGATGCAGATGATAATGCATCCATATCTCCAGATCGCTCTGAAGGCTGTCCGGTCGTTGTTGACTTGGACCTTTTGATAATGTAGTCCTCCTTGTTTCCATGGAAATTAGACCAAACATATAACTTTGGGTGGAGTGGGGCACAATATCAAAATGACTGGAAGTTATGAATTCAGTTCAGATTCTTTTGAAAGAACCTGTGCTTGACTCAGAGTCACACATAAAAGGCATTTATTATGAATGTATTTTAAATTTTTGTTATTCAGTTAATTTGAGTCCTTTGCAGCACAATACCAGTAGGACACCCCCAGGATGGTACTAACCCACCCTTTTAACCAAAGGGCCACCGTAGGGCTCTTTCAGACATAAGGTCCTGGTCCTGGGAGGGGTTTTCCCTCCCACCCTCACTGTCCAAGTTCTGGCTTCCATTATGTCTGGGCTGGAAGGGGGGTGCCGGGCCTTGACCTGTCCGCTACGACCCACCTGCCGTCATCACAGAAACCAGAGAAACCTAACGTCTCATGGCTGGTTCCCAGAACACCAGCGAATGGCCTTTGTGCGTCTGTTTACAAAACACTGAGGCAGCGGTGGCTGGGGACCGCCGCTTTAATTTGGACCTCGTCATTACGGAAAATTAAAGGTACTGTTACAGTCTATCAGCAGTGAGCCAGCAGTCATTGTTGACTATATACATGTAGTAATAATCCAACTCAGAGAAACCTTCCATCTGGCCGCTGAGGGAATTGGTGCTGAAAGAGAGTTTCTATGGCCATACCATTCATTAAGGAGCATAATTACAGTGGAAAATGTCCAAGGAAATGACAAATAATGACTGATATTTAAGTCTATTAAAGGTCCTGTAGCTAAATAACATTATTATATGAATGGTACTATACACTCAATAAATTCTAAAAAATGAGGGTAGCAAGGTGACACATGTTAGGAACCAGATTCTTGAGCAAAGGTTTCTGCTGAATGAAATCCCAGGGGACTCTGGGTAACGGGGCCAAAAGATCTGTTCCTCATAGATTTGTTCATTCTTCTTTATCCGCCCGCATCTCCCAGTGTGCAGGTCACTGGGAAGGCAGACAGGTAAAGGCGGCAGATGGAGAACTGGGAGGTGAGGAGAGACAGAAAGATGGGGAAGTAAAACAACATTTTAATAAAGGAGTGTAAGAAGGGCGGATGGGCGTGAATGAAGTCAGGTTATGAGGACATACATTGACTTTGCCTCTGTTTTGTTGTGGATCATATCAAACTGGATTCTGTTATTCTCGGGCCCAGAACACACACCCAGACCGTGTCCCACACCCTGCTGTAGCCCTTGCCAAAACTTGACGCTTGTTTTGTTTTCTTCCTACTCTCTGTTTTGTCAAACCCATCTCCACTTCCCTGTCTAGATAAAGTGCCCATATCTCCCTTTTCTCTCCTGTTACATGCCTTACAAACCTTGCCAGCAGGTTGTTGGGTCCAAGCACTAAGATTTCCAGTTCAAAGTTACACCCAACGATGACCGATGAATGCTCACTCAGCCAGTGGCTACGTCTCTTATCTTCTCCAGATGTTCGATCTGCTCTACAGGAGGCGCTCAGTCCCCTGTCCTGGTCTGTGTCAACGTCACGCCACACATGACATCATCTGTGCAGGGCGGTCATCGCCAGGGGCTCCGGTGTAAATCATCTGCCATTATTATGGCCTGGCTGATTTGGCAAAAGGTTGTTTGTTACTTGACAGGTGGATACATCCCAGTTCTTGCACAGATAGAAGCATGGATAACCTCTACCTGGTTAACAAGGCTTCAAATCCTGCAGAAATATTTTTAATCTGCTTAAAATGTATCCATCTGACAAGTGAAATTTGAACTGCTAGCTTTTTATGAACATTGCTTCCAAAAAAAATGAAGCTTGATTTAAGGGCTGGAGATAACGTATACTGTTATTAGCCAGTATAACATCTTCATATTCCTGCTGTTCTCAGCTCAGTTCCATAAAGGGGGAAATGAAATATATGGGTTCATTCAAACAGAAAAGAAGTAAATCATTATTTCAGCTTAAATTTCACTGGTCCTAGTTCAGAGATAACCATCAGTGTTAAAAACTGAATGGACTTCAAAATGTATCAGCAGCAAAAAGATGCAGTAATGCAGTGCTCCAGCAGATAGCCTGTGAACTGCGCAGCTAGCATGTAAATTGGACTTGCCCATGCAAAGGGAATGAGCCTTTGGTTTTTAAATCACTGTAAGTGAGCCTTATCTGAGTTTCGGACGTGCTCAGTACTGGCTTTGTATCACGGCCAGTGAAAAACACGGGAAGGAGAATCCTGAGGGTTTGACTGATACTTGAAAAGCTTTCGCCGACCCTGTCAACAGAGTTAAAAGGAAACAATGTGTTCAATGACAAAGTGGGCATGTAAGAATCCCATGATGCCCTTATTTCAGTTTCTGCTGCCCAGAAAAAGCAGGCACTCTTCATTGTGTCCCGATGGGCATTTGGGCTGTGCGGCACTTAGGCAAGCAGAACCTGTTCACCTGCTATCCAGGGTAATAAAATCTTGGGGTACTCTTGCTCCAAGTAATAGTTTGGTATCATCACATGGGCAACTTTAGTATTTCAGGCCCCAGCGGTTTCCAAACCCACCACCCAATCAGCACTCAGACACAGCACGGCGCTGAATTTGTGTGAACCAACCATGTTCCAGGCCTCGGAAGCCAACAGGAAGAATGCCACGCAACATTCTTCAGAAAATAATTAGGGTAACTGATACTCAACGTGGTATTTTTGCACCCTAGTGTCTCTCTACCAAGTTCGCTTTTGGGGAAACAAACATTGCACAAAAAACAGGGATAGGCAGTTGGAAGATGATTGACTACATCTCAAAACAAAAGTATTCAGTGAGTCACACAAGGAAAGACTGAGATGTGAAAATCAATGGAGGCCACAGAAAGAAGCAAAGACTTCTTAAGAAATCTTATTACAAGATATCCTGAAATACAGAATAGAAGAAGATTCAAACTGACCTTTTGTGAAATTCTCAAAAAATATGAGACAAAATATGAGAAATTCAAGCCTTTGTAATATGCATGGTGGTATAAATCTTTTTATTGAGAGTTAACTGGAATCTGGAAGCACTAAGTATGCAACTGAGACATTTCATATCTTTTGAGTATTTTAGACATGTCTCACCCAGAAGCCTTTAGCGGGGCCGTAGGCTGTGGGCCACAGGACAGTAGGATTAACGAAAAATTGAGCCTTTAAAACGGCAAACTCAATAGCAGCTCACTAACAAAACCATTTACTGTCAGCAAGCCTGCCCCTGATACTCCGCCTCTGCACTTTCCCTTCCTGAGCTGCCCAACTGGCCCAATTTATTTCTAACAAGGTCATTTATCCAATCAAGGTCAGTTGGGCTTCATTAAGTGGGGAAATGTTGGTACAGGGCTGGTAATCAATTACCATGGGAATGTGAAATCGCCTACAACCAGCCCCTTGCCATTACTCTGCTTCGCAAAGACTCCTGTGGCCTGTACTACGAAGTGGGGTTACTGGCTTATCGGGGTAACTTGTTGGATTTAAGGTACAACAGTTTAAATGGACTTCATATTCGTTCACTTACATTTTGCCCAGACTACCTTAAATCCGACAAGTTACCCTGATAAGCCAGTAACCCCGCTTCGTAGTACAGGCCACTAAGCTAAAGCTCTCTGCCACTTAAATAACATAATAAAAATTTTAAAAAGGATTTGACAACAACACAAACATATTTTTCTCAAAATTTTGTTTCAACCTTTCCCACCACACACATTTTTTAAACATTTCTCTGATCTCAAAGTTCTCAATACTAGAACATGTTGGTTTTGACTGATTTCAACGTCACCTTACAAATAAGTAACCTGACTGACAGGAAGTTGCATAGATAACACTCTGCCCGTACAAATTCAGACAGGTTGTGCACCTAAAGAGAGATGTGCATCAGATCTGAGACTGTATTTAAGTTAACAAACATTTCAACCTGCTTAAACTTCTAGATCTTCACATCAATATCATGTGACCCATGAAGTCACTCTCAATTCCACAGAAAACCCTTATGTGGCTTCTACCAATGCCTGAGCATGTCTGCTTTAGACAGAAACATCACAAAAAAGGTGTTTATAAAAAGAGAAAGTGGAAGAGTTAGAGAAAAGACAGTCAGAGTAAAGGGTGAGTTGTATTTCAGGGTCTTACCTAACTTTCTGAAATAGATGCACAGAGATGATGCAGAATCACAAAGGTAACGTCAGACTGCTTGACTCGAGCTTTTTAGCTCGATAATTGTTTTCATTCAGCCGCTGGGGCACAGAAGGTCATCCCCGCTGTCTTTATTGCGCCGGCCGCTTAATCACGAAATCCATCTTCGTTAAACCGGCAGGGAGACAATGGCCCTTCTCTGCAAAAGCGACAATTAACCTCAGCCACTCGAGCCATATTGAGAACACTCCATTTCTCACCGAGATGTGCCAGGAGTTAATTATTAACCGCCGCATCGGGCATTTAAAGACGTGCGTGTATCTGTTCATTTAAATCGCTGACCATAAAAAAATACAAAAAACGTACTGTAGCTGAAAAGCTGCAATTCATCTGGGGTCTACAATAAAACTGCCAATGGGCCGACGCTGAACAGCTGAGCCCGAAAGAGGAAGTTTCCGGAGGAAGTAACGGGGCTAGAGGCGCCCCTGAACATCGGTGCCGCCAGGCCAAAAGCATAACCATGAACACCTTACCGATATACATTTAACCGTTTCGCTTAGAATTTGTGATAATGTATGATCAGTTTCCAAAAAGCTAAAACACTGTCTGCCAGTAAATCAAACATCTGGAAGATGGACTGATGAACAAGACCACAATACAGACCAGAAGGATCAGCTACATTCTTTATTTGTTTACCTACCATTGTGGGGACTCCAGCTCAACCTCACTTTAACTGCAGCAGGGGAAAAAACATCGTATCTTAGGAGAAAGGACTAACAGTTAGCTTCAGAGAACTCCATGGCTTGCTAAAGATGGACACTTACCCTAGAACCTTCAGGAAATCTCTTCGTTCGGACTGATTTTAATGCAGCGTTGAAGCAACGCAAAACCAGCTGAATGCTAAAGAATCGCAAAGTGTGGGATTCAAAACCTGCGTCTCAAAGCCACTGGGTGGGTGACACTGGGTGGGTGACACTGGGGGCCACACCTCATTACACCGGCAGGTGGGTCATGTTATTATCAAAAAAAGCCATCAGACATCAATGACAGTGATGATGAAGCTCATGATCTTATGACATCAGCTACTGAGGACCACTGCAGCGGTGTCGCCAGAAGCCTTCGGGGCTGGGGGGCATTATGGGTTATTGTTGTTATGATTCTCTGCAATTATGCCCAGTATTGTGTGACACGGTCAGCACAGCAGGTCATGGCCCCAAGTCCGGGTTACTTGTCCTTTAGGTTACTCTTCTGCAGAAAATCATTCACGGGCCCTGTCACCCATACTCGGGTGGGGGGAGGGGGGAGGGCGGTAGGTTAAGTAGAGATCCTTGGGGAGGGAAGGGTGTTTAAATAATTGAGAGGCCTGTAGACTAGATGATGGTTCTTTTTTAATCCAGTGCATCATTCATTGATAGAGTGCCGTTAATCCCTTCATCTGTTTTAGCAGAACATGGCCCCATGGTTCTCCCAGTTGGGC